GAATGAAATAATATCAGAAATAACAAATTCTTTTTTTGTAAATATTTTCAATATAATGCAAGTAACCAAATTGGAATAATAAATATAGATATGTTTTTCTCCCTTTTTCCTATTCAGTTGAACAATTAAATTCCAAAAGTGTTTTCAACATAACAATGAAACATACATGTACATAGAACTACAGAACATATAATTTATAGTATTCTCCTTACAATAAATACAATATTCATTATAGAGAATTTTAGTTTGTTTAACTAACAAATTCGGTTTTGATATTTTTTTTTAGCATTTGAAATTTGAAAATTGAAATTAAGACTTGAATATTGTCTGTTTTAATATGTTTGATAAGAATAACCACTATTTTCTATCCTAAATTGGAGTTATTCTTAATAGCATTGTTAACTTTTTCCAATAAAACTTTACAAAAGTTTGATAAGTTTCATTTTTTATTTTCACTTATTAAAAAGCTCATAACAATTTTTAACTGTGTTTGGATATTTTTACAAAAAATATGACTTTGGTTTTCTTTGTTCAGAAAAAGGGCCCTTACATTTAAGAAACATAGTGGTATTCATTCCCCCAATATCATTGTCATTGCACAAAAAAACATTTTCCTTGTTCATTTAAAGGAACACCCTCCCCTTCCTGTTTCAATAGGTTAGTCTATGATTCCTTGTTCTAAAAGATGTTTAATATTTTACAAAAATTTAATTTGGTATAAGTTTGAAAAATATTTATTAATTTTTCAAAAATTTTCTTTTCCATGGTTTATAATTGATACTGCCTGTAGACACAATTCATCATTCCATGCTTGTATGTACTGGTCATCGGTATTTTTTGTTTAAATGCTAATGGAAACATTTTTTTCTATTAAATGTTCAGATTGATTTTCCCAAAATTCCCAAATCCATGTTTAAAAATAAGACTTTTTATATGATCAAGCCATTTGATTTAAGTCCCTAGATTCTGCATAACATTCATTATGAGATATAAATAACTTGACAATTTATTGCTAGTTGGGTCAGTTACTTTTACTCCAGAAAGAGATAATTCTTGTATAATAATATCGGTTTGTATCGGTTTAATTCCTAATTCGCCATATATCATATGAGATGGGGTGGATTTTTTTAGATTTAGAATAAGTTTCATAAATTTGGGTTGTGTTCTTTCAATTAGTTCATTGTTTCCAAAGCCCCAAACCTCACAGCCATAGAGTAGTATTGGTTTAATAGTTTTATTAAATATATCTATCTGTAAATTAAATGACAAGTTTAGAGCTCTTATTTTTCTTAAAAGAGAAAACATTGCTTTTAAATTATTAGCTTGTTCTACTACATGCTTTTTGGCTTTAATGAAACTTTTTGTTCTTGATAGATAGACACCTAAATATTTATATTGATCAGTGGTTTCAAGATTTGCTTCTTTGAATTTAAACTTGTTTTGATAAACGTTACTCCTTGATCCAAATACAACAACCTTTGTTTTACTGGTGTTTATTGTTTATTTCCATTTATCACAATATTGTTCAAAGAGATTTAATGAGTTTTGTAGGTCATCACTACTTTCACTTAGTAATATGGTATCATCTGCATATAATATTATAAAAAGTTTAAAAAACATTCCAATTTCATTGGTTCTGACAGTGCAAGTTACGCCATTTACATTTCTGAAGCTTAAAAAGTTTTCCAAATCATTCAAGTATATTGAAAACAAAAGAGGAGATAAATTTTTGCCTTGCCTAACACCTGACATACATGGAAAGAAGTTTGATAAACCTTCATTTGTCTTAATTCTTGATTTTATATTGTTATACATATTTTTATAAGATTGAAACATTTCCCATTAATATTATAATTAAGCAGTTTTGTCCACAGTCCCTCTCTCCATACAGTATCAAATGCCTGTTTGAAATCTATAAAAACACAAAAAAGTTTTTTTTTTACTTGCACTAAGTATATCTATCAGGCATTGTAAAACAAACAAGTTGTCAATGGTTGAATGATTTTTTCTGAAACCTGCTTTGAACACATTATTGAATAAGATCTGCTTCTTCAGCAAATTTATTAAAGTCTAGTATTAATGATTGCTGTAAACAGCTTGCCAACACAACTAAGGAGAGTTATTGGTCGGTAGTTCTCTGGGAATGGAATACTTCCTTTATTTTTGTAAATAGGGACTATTTCACCTTCAGTCCAGTTGGTTGGTATTAATTCCATTGATTTTAATATAAGATTGAATATTCTGGGAATGTTAATAACGTTTAATTATAAATGATGATCTTACAAAAAATAATTGTTTTCTTTATCATTCTTATAAATGCTTGCCTTGCATTGATAGAGAAACAAAATTAATAAACATTTTATTGCTTCTATATTGAGAAGATGTAAATCAAACATGAGTAACACAATTTCAATTCATGTAAATTATAAAAAAAAACACTTTGAGTATTAAAACAAGTTCATCCTTTCAAAGTATTATCTGGGAAAGTATATTGTTGAAATATTATTTTTGCTAATAATGACAAAAATGTAATTCATAATATTAGTTGGCGCCCCCCCCCCCCCCTACAAAAACAAAAATCAACGTATCGTGAAATCAAACCTGTACAAGGGGTTGTTTATGAAGCATATCTTAGGCTTATAAATGGGTTATAACTGTAAACGACGTTAAAGCTATATAGTATAAAATGTCATTTTGGTAATATTCAATATGCTCATACAAGCAAGTCAGCAATTTGTATGTACATAGGATATATTTTTTTCAGTATGAGGTTTCCTAAATAGTGATTACTAACTGTCACAACATCTGGAAATGTTTTGAAAAATATTTAAAAAAAAACTTAGCGTCGACATATAAAGTATGAAAATATTGAAACTATTGTTCAGCGTCCGAGTATTCTTTGAAAATGTTCACATGTATATATTGATTTATATCCTAGTTAGAATGAAATAAAGTCAAAACTTTACTGATTTTGAGTTCCTTAATAGAAGAGAAAACAAATCAGCGACGTATGGTGACATTCAGCATGTTGAATAGATTTCTAAATAATTTCTTTATTTCATTCAGTTGTATGCTAGATATGTCAAATATGACCAAAGGACAAAGAAGATTCATTGTGATAGCACTTTTGATGATTGGCAGTTTGTACAATGGTTCAATTTATCTAAGGAAACTCAAGAGAGCGCATACCAATATTTTATACAGAGATTGTTTTTTTATAACCGTGAAATACATTTTATCGATTTGTCAGATTTAAGACGTACCCTGCATCTCTTCAAAAATAAATCGAATGGCAAGGAAAAGTTAAAAAGCAAATTATTTGTAAATAGCAGACCTTGATTTCGATATTGGGCAAATATGCACTCGGAAGTTGCAGCATTTTTAGTAGGTTTGTATAATAAATAACAATTCCTTTTTCGTGCTTGTCGTCCTGCTAACAGAGTAGCTGCGATATATAGCAATTACTTCTCCATCCTCCGTCCGGTTCGTCACCGTCCGTCCCGTTCACACAACTTGTCCGGACTACTTCTTAAGAACTGCAGGTGCAAACACATCAAAACTCTCGGGAATGATCAGTACCAAGTCTAGTTGTGCATGTCATTAGCTTTGTCCTCGCCCCAATAAGTTTTGTTAGGCGTCATGGCCATTTTATCATTTTATGGTTAAAAGTTTTGTTCAAACTACCCGTATCTTTTACAACTAAATGCAAAAACTGATTTTCCGTTCGAATGGCTTTTGCCCGAGTTTGTGGCCCTGGAATAAAAAGGCGTTGAAGCCTGTTACTGAATTTTTGCGTCTCCTCCTACACAGTGGCAGCAAAATGCCTATGAAAGGTACATGTGTAACAAACTGTATTGTATTAATATGACAATAAGAGGAAAACATAGAACACACATAGATGACAAAAGTTCGTATCTCATTTAGAGAAACAAAACACTAAATCATTAAACTAATCTAATAGCCAAGAAATCAAAGTAACAAACTCTTTTTTAAACTGGAACTAAGAACAACATTTTATTGTAATGTATTGTGGATCCATAAATATCTTTGTAATTAAATTGATTATCGATGACCTGAATAAATCAAATCTTCATTTATTTAGATAACAGGATCCGTATTTAGCCTGATTATCTTATTGATTGGTTGACCGGTTTTTATTTACATCGGCAGCTGTTTTACGACATGTTAATAGAGAAAGAATTGATCTAACACTGACATCCATAATAGTGAAATTTGAATCATAAGCATTATAAATCGATATATTGATATATTGTCAATTAATTGATTGCAGTTAAATAAATACATTCTTACAGCAAAACAAAATAACATGAACACATCCCTCGATATTATACGCTACATAAATGTGAATATTCTATACAATATACATTTGTTATCGAAAAATATAAATTCTGTAGAAGCTTATGTAATGTTTGTATAAAAATACTTAACCATTATAGCAAGTGCACATGTACTTGTTTTTTTTTTACATGGAATCGTTATTCATTTTAAAAGTAGTAATATATAATGTCTATGTTATTTAACTTAATTTAATGGACATGAAATATTCCAGAAAAGAATAGTATGCTGCTTTTTAAGTGGAGTTTTTACCAGTTAGTAATGTGTCACTCTCGCTCAAGAATATATATGCATCTACGTATTTTTAATTATTCCTTTCAAAAATTCAAACAATAGGCAACAGACATATAACAGTGTTGTACATTTTAAAAGTGTGTTTCGTACATAGGTATAACCAAGAATTAAAATTACTTTTAGACCTTATCGTTTTTGCTTTCTACATGACAATGTTTTATGATGCTAATGATGCCATAGACAAGTGTTTTAAAAACATGGTTCGTATCGTTACATAATTTCTGTTTAAAGAAACTTCATATAAAATTTCCATTTTTTATTTTATCATTTGTTACAAAAATGTATATATACCTACACAATGATAATTGTTTGACTCCATGTGTAATGGAGGATATATTTTTTAGCAATCTCATTAAAATCAGATCATCGTTTTTGCTCCGTTACTCTTCGCTACGAAGATCTGAGTACATTGCGTATCAGGTCGCCTCAAGTTGACCTTTACCCCATGAATATTAATGAGCAAACGTAATTTTCGTTGTCCAATCAGAATCTTCGTTTCAAACCAAGTTCGTTTAATCAATCAAAATGGCGTCGTCTTCATCTTTTGACAATTTAATTTCAAAAACGATTGAAATATTCAACATAAAAGAGCTGAAAAATGAGCAAAAAGAGATCTTGAAGGCTTCCTGGGAAGGGACAGACTGTATGGCGGTCCTTCCCACAGGTTTTGGTAAATCGCTGCCCTACCAAATGCTGTCAACAATGCGCAAGTTATCTGGCGAAACTGGGAGTAAGAAAGTGGTGGTGTGCACGCCGTTGTTATCGCTTATGCAGGACCAAGTTCAACGGCTGAGGTTGATTCCTGATGTAACTGCACTGTACTTAGGTATGGAAATTATGATTAGGCGTGTAAATGAAATGCGTTTGCATGAGTATCGTACGATAGAAAAATCTAGCTGGAAAATAATTACTTTAACTGCAGGCATTGATTTGCCTTGTACAAATTTATAGCAAAATTTTTGTTATGCCGTTTATATACATGAACTTGAAAGAATTTTTTTATAATTCCACATCCTACCCCTATTTTGTACTCAATATTTTCGTACCACAGATAATATATACTCGATACCTTTATTTGGAGCCTCTCTTTTAACTGGAACTTTCATTCCATTAACTGGAAGTAGACTTGTTAATTTTAAGTATTTTTGAATAATGTATAGATTAAACAAAGGACATAAGAACCCCATTTAGACCAACCGAGTTATCAAACATACAGTTTTTACACAGTGTAGTGCATTTCTGGATATAATATGTCATTTTTATGGTTATGAAATAAAGGTGCTTTACAGTTTCAGTTTTGCATGAATTACGCATTCCATTTACATTTTACCACTACTCAAGAAGCACTTTTTCAAAGGTTTTTTGATTGTTACAATGTATACTGTTATACATATGTGAATAAACTCAAAAGCCATGTACAAGGTTGTTTTTCACATTTCTTGAATTCAGTACCACCTATTTTTCCCAATTTAAGGCCAAAATGTCTGGAAAAGGCTAGTTTAATAAACCCTATTAACTTTCATTTAGTTCACAAATACATAAGTTTCAATATGACAATCTTATTAATGATGCTTTGCTACTTTTAGCATACATTGTAAATGAAAACCCTTTCAAAAGTCAAAGACTTAATTAATATGAAAAATAATGGGAAGAACCAACATATGTTCTTTTGGAGAAACATTCTTGGTGTGTCACATTCTAAGAATGTTTCATCATAGGGTGAATTACACATGTACCTGAAAATCATAGGATGGAATGGTGAAATTTACTTAGTCATGATGGTAGTCTATAGACACTCATACAAACAAATATTTCTGTAAGATTTCCATAATTTGGCCAGTGAAAATTTGACTATCAAGTCATTGAAAACTTGGAAAGTATATTCAGTGTCAAACACCACAAATTTTGTATTTATTTACTATTTCACTTTATGTGTTTTAGGTGAAAGTTCAGAGGCAGACAGAGAAATACATCATGGTAAATTTGACTATTTATTTGGATCCCCAGAGCTGTTAGTTGGAAGTGGTCAGTGGCGTGAAGTTCTGAAAACTTTCACAGTGAGCAACATAGTAATTGATGAATGTCATACTGTAATTTCATGGTAAGGAATTTCAATACAGCACAGTTTATTAAGATTTATAATAATGATTTCTTTCAGGTGATTGTATTGGAAGCTAAAAGCAGTTAGACACACTCAGTCTGTTTCTGGTAACAACCAGTACCTAGCAAAAGCTCATTTTTTTTGGCTAAAGGAAACAGCTTACCATTGGCAGAAAGAAAATATTAATGTGTTGTTTAATTATAATACTGCATAGATTAATGTCCAGTTCTATAAACAGTACTGTATGATTAAATATCATGCATATGAATGATTAACTTCCAAGTTTATAAAAGAAAATTATTTTAATATATTCAGAAGAAAAGAATATATATATAATATGGCATCAACATAAACATCTTTAATTCTGGAGGACATCTTACATATTAAACATAGCCTTTGTGTTCTGGGTGTGATTGATGTGTGGTAAGATAACATCCACACTCACTAAATAAATGAGCCGTGTCACGACAAAACAAACATAATGGGCGACCAGCAGTCTGATCAGGATCCATACTGTTGCTATCAGTTTCTCTACTTGTTATAGGGTTTGTAAGCGAACAACATGGATCCTGACCAGACTGCACGGATGCGCAGCCTGGTCTGGATCCATGCTGGTCGCAAACCCATTATGTTGGTTTTGTCGGGACGCAGCTCAAATGTTGTTTTTATTATTATTTATTGTCTTGTTATGATGTTTTATTTTTTTTTCAATTTCCTATTTTCAGGGGTGAAGAAGATAAGGGCAAGGCCTTCAGGAAGTGGTTTTCTTGTGTTGGTGAGTTGAGAGCTCTCTTCCCATCAGCTTCAGTTACAGCATTGAGTGCTACATGTAAAAAGGCAGACTACAAGAAGATAATGATGTCGCTGAACATGAAACCTGACTCAAAGATTATCAAAATGTCGCCAAACAGACCAAATATAAAACTTATCATCAAGAAAGTCAATTCAATAGAGTCAGGATTTTTACCACTTGTTGAAGCCATTAATGAAAAGAAAATGGTGAATTCTTTAATATATTGTTCTTCAATAAAGGATGTTTCTGTCATTTATAGTTTTTTAACTGCAGAAGTTTCGCAAGCCAACATGTTCATTGAAATGTTTCATTCTGAAACCGAAGAAAAGAACAAAACAGATATTATCAAGAAAATTACAAGTAAAGATGAATCATTCATAATCATTGCAACAAGTGCTCTAGGAATGGGAATTGACATTTGTAGCTGTCATTGTGTTATTATTTATGGTTTGCCATATAACATGGTTGATCTTTGGCAACAGATTGGACGTGTCGGGCGAGATGGTTCTACAGCTGAAGCCATCTTTTTATATAGGGGCCATCAGATGAAATCGTCAGATGTGGATGTAAAAAACTTGTATACAAGTGCAACATGTCGTAGAATGACTGCATTGACACCATTTCTAACCAAGTCAGAATTATTGTTGGTAAAGTCTTCAACTGGAAAGCACACTTGCTGCGATATTTGTACCAAGCAGTGTGATTGTAATAATTGTGTCTCAAATCCAGTTGAAACACTTTATATTGATTCAGAAGTTGGAAGTGATGATAGTAGCAGCAGCAGTAGTGGAACAATTTCATATGAACAAGATATTGGAGATTTTTCTGAACAGGAAGATATGTAGTGTCCTAATAACTGAAATAACTTTAATAAGTGCAATAGTTTCAAAGATAACATGAAGGTGTTTTACAAACTTTAACTTTTGATAACATTAAACAATTACATTAAGATATGACCATCATTATAATGCTTTACCTCAGCTTTGAAGAATATTCAAATAGGCTATAACTATATTTATGTATCTCTCATATCCCCTTTGGGAAGAAAAAGGTGTTTTGTAATTAATATCGATCGGTATTTATTGGCTAAATAAACCGCCTCCGTGGTCAAAGGGGTTAGAGTCGATGATTTCTAATCCAGTAACCTCTCTGGCGTGGGTTCGATCCCGGAAGATGCTTTGGTAGTTTAGCGCAGAGGAAGGTAGTCTTGGGCAGGAAACTACCCACCTTTATGACTGAAATACTGTTAGGAAAAGGGGTAAAATGAAACAAACAAACAAATAAACTATTGGCTAAATGCTTAATTTAATAATAACTATGGTACCTGATATTTTCTAGTGTAATTAAATCGAAACAAGAGGGTAAAAGTATTTAATATTTTACAAGATCAACCCATATACTTTTTAGAAAATTAAGGTTAACTTTGAAAACAGGCACTAAATTGACTAATTTGGTAAATTTTGGGGAATTTTTTTAATTAGGCTCCCCAAGTTAGTATGAAAATGGTCAAACACATATTAAAAATGCGTGGGATAGGGTAATGTTTTTACACATATTTCATAAAGTGTAAGTAGAAACAATCATTTTGCTTATGTTGATTGTTTTTCAGAATGATACTATTTGTTTCTTACCAAACAGTAATGGGAAAATGTTTTTGTAGGCTGTTATTGTTGATTATTTTAAGGTTCCTTATTTCTTGGGTGAACATACCTTAATATTTCTTGAACTAAGCTTTCCAAAAGTTATAACAATTTTATATTATTTTATTTTTACAAATAAACAGACATAGTACATATAAAGATACTGTTCAGTTCAGTCCTTGCAGTGCTGTACCCTCTAGCCGTGTATAGGAGACAAGCAATTCGAGAACAGAGATATTTTGCCCTCATTAGGTTAAATTGTTTTTTTAAAGCTAACTTCTGAAAGAATTATTACTATTGTTGTCAATGGCCATTGTAGTGGAGTTAAACTGTATTACGATTTTATTTGTAAATAAGAGTTATGGTTTGGGTTAAATCTTTTTGAAGTTTGACTTTGGAAAGAAATGTCACTCTTGTTTTAAAGAGATGATTCAATAGGAGTTGGCTGCTATACAGAGGTTAAACTGTATTATGATTTTATTTGTAAATAAGAGTTATGGTTTGGGTTAAATCTTTTTGAAGTTTGACTTTGGAAAGAAATGTCACTCTTGTTTTAAAGAGATGATTCAATAGGAGTTGGCTGCTATACAGAGGTTAAACTGTATTATGATTTTATTTGTAAATAAGAGTTATGGTATGGGTTAAACCTTTTAAAGTTTGACTTTGGAAAGAAATGTCAGTATTGTTTTGTAGGCTGCTCTGTAACATTTAGAAAGTTATGAACCTTTTTTACATAAAGCAATAAAATAATGAAACACATGTTATAAAAGCTGATACATTTAATTAAGCATATTTGGTTAAATCCTTACAAGTTCATTGAGTATTGCCCTAAATGAAGTTAAATGTACAAGTTTATTGCTTGGTAATTACTTTTTTTTTTCTGGCAGCAATGTATACATAACAAACATATTACATGGTAGTTTAATTGCAACTTATTGTTCTGTTTTCATCAATTTAAAATTTGTTTGAATAATTAAAGTCTTTGATATTAGATACATTGTTAACTGCCTTTTTTCTTATTAACACCAACCATGTGTTCAGAACTCTAAAAAAGTCAATGAAGCAATTTCATGAATGTTTCTTTTGTTTAACTTTGTAAATATTTATCAATTTGCACTACTTCATATATAATTAAAACGTTTTGTCAGAAACTGTGTTTTTTATAACTTTTTTGGCTGGGTTACATGTCACATCAATGTTTTAAATCATTTCATGTGGTGACTGACTGTTGGAAAAAGACTTTAGCTGCTCTCCCATGCATTATTTCAGGCACATGTTCAAGTGGAGATGTGAAATTTTATAATAATAGTGGAGTACATAGTTGATTCTTTCTGACATGTTCACAGATGACAAACATGGTTATGTGGTACAACTATACATGTTGATCCCTCAATCGCCTGTATGGACAGGCTGGTCGATGTCTGTGGATCATTGTTACAAGCCCTGTTGCACTGTTATTATATGGATTTTTATCAACATTTTTTATGGAGCACTTAATTGTCTGGTCATGCAATACATTTAATTGCTGTAAATCCTTTAGTATTTTACGTACATCATTTTTGTACTCTGGAACGTGATGAAAACCTTTACTTTTTCTTATATTGCTGATTTGTTCCACATGTTTTACTGCTTTAGTTAAGAGAGGATATTCTCTAGAATGGTTAATAATACTTTTTTTGGTTTTGTACCCAGTACAAGATAGTTTGGAATCCCTGTTTAACATCTCTAAATATTCATCAAGTGCAATGTTACTGTTTTTTCCACCCTGCACATTAACAAATCTATTGCCTTTGAAACGCTCTTTTTGATCAGCAGGAAGTATCTCCTCTGCTAGTGCTGTCAGCTGAATGGATCCTATTTCATACTTTATCTTATTAGTCTTGTTATATATGGGCAGCTCATATTTAGCAGACCTAACACAACGCTCACCATCACCCATATCAACAGCATTATCTAAATTTTTGTGTAACATAACAAGTTTGAATAACATTAGGATATAATTTTGAATACTGTCTGATTTATCTCTTTTTGGCTTCTTTTTCTTGGATTCAGTGTAACCATGCTTCTTCATTTCATGTTCCTTTAATGTTGAAACAAAAGCATATGACTTTTCACAGAAATGACACTTAAATCTATCATTTTCTTTATTTGACACCCAGTAATATTCAGAATTTGAACTGTCGTCTAAAGTTTCTCTCACTGATGCACAGATATCTATAGAATTTTCAAAGAACCATTTTTCTACAAGTTTTGAACAAATGTTGTTGAGCCACTGTATTTTCTCCTCAGCTGATAATTCATTAAAGTTGAGTGGCAATGGAATGTCACTATTTTCATCTGTTGCATTAAAAAAATCCATGAACATACAGACTATGATGGCATCTAATACAGCATAATACAACATTTTGTATGCCCTGTATGCATTTTTTACATCGCCCTTAGCATTTCTGTAATTTAATACATTCCGGTAGTATGCCATGGTTCCTCTTTCTCCACAATACTGTGTACTGTATGTGAGCTTGAAAATTGCCTATAAAAAAGTTGGATTTTGACAAAGTGATTAACATGTTTTCTAAGTTCCCAAGAACTTAATTAAAATTTTCAAGAGCCATTGGTAATTTAATAATAATATATCAATAATTATTATTAATAAATATCAATAATTAATAAAATATCAACATGACATAGCTCTATTTCTATCATATAAATTGGATCTAAATAGGAGCCTTTAAAGTAAATCTTTTAATAATTAGTCATGAATGAGCAGATTAAAAAACAATTTTAGCATATGATATCACTTATAATTAATGCCAAAAAATTCTAAATTTAACAAAACATAGTTTACAAAGACTATTCTTGCCTCTAAAAAATTCATCAATCTGTGAAAATCTTCAATTTTGGATATAAATCCTTCAAGGCGCTCCCTCGGACTGTTTGCATTCTTCATTGCCATCTGAGCACACTAGACCCTTTCGTCAGTCAGTCTGTCCCCTGTTAAACAATAAATTGTAATTAAATTGGAAATTTTACGATAACAGAATTATTTATAATGTAAGTAACTTAAAGGCCCATAATGCCTAAAAAAATGATATTATATTTTTTCTCAATTTTTTATTTTTGATGTCCAGTTACAGCTTCGAAAATGTTAGTTATTCGCCAATCTTTTACTTTTACTTTTAATTTCTTATAACATAAAAATTTTTCTTAAAACTTATAATGCAATTTAAAGATCAATTTACCTCCAAAGAAAACAGCTTCAAAAATTTCTTCATTGTCTGTAGGCACATACACTTCTGTAAGATGTTTAAGTAACTGTATGAGGTCCTGAGTTTTGTTTTCATTACAGTCAAACAGACCAAGGGAATACTGCAAAATATAATGTGACAGAAGTTTAATTTAACCCACATTTAAAAGAACACATATTCTTCCCTATACTAACATGTATTAATTCAAACAATGCTTAATTTAAATGAAGTTTAACTAAGTAGAGCTATATAAATAAAACTAAGTAGGGCTATATAATGTTAAAAACCTAAGGAAACACTGCATGTTCAAAACTGTCAAAAATGAAGGGTAAAATTGAAATACCTGTTCAGTTTTATTTCCACAGACATCTGAGTATTTGTGAGTTAAGTGAGTTGGGTAAATCTTGCCAAAAAGGGCTTGCATTTGTGGTACGTGTTCCACGACTGTTGTTGCAAAAATGAAAACCAGCTCATTTAGCAGAAGATTTTGTTCATGAAGAGAAGGAATATAGTTCAGCACAGAAAACTGGCCTGGAGTGAAAATGTCACTAGTTTCTGGTACTATTCTGTCAACTATGGCATATACATTAAATAAATGTAACGATTCAGTTTTTCTATCTGTTGTTCGGTAAGAGGGTAAAATATCCTTATCCCAATTATCTCCAACAAGTTGGTATTTTCTTCTGCCACCCTTTGCCCATTCATTCTTAATCTGTAAAATCTCCTCATTTAGCATACCACCCCAGGACAGCAACTTGCGATGGACTGTTTCTGGTCTCACAGTCAGTCCTAGCTTTGCAAGTGTTTCAATTGTCTGCAAAGAAATAATTCTATTGGGTATCTGATTGCATACATAAAAAGATGTGAAAACAAACAAACTGGGGAGAAAGTATTTCATACTAAAATAAAGGAGAGAAATAAACATATTGCCTAAATTCTTAGACAATTTAGAGACATCATTTCAGAAACATTATGCTTTAGTTTATTTATCAATTACTTTCAGACAAGCCAAGTTACATTATGTGAATTATGCAATTATCTTAGCTCAGTGCTTTTGGCTACTATAGAAGTTTTCCTCCCTCACAAAGGAGTATAATTGAGAAAATTACATACAATATTTTACTTTTTTCTTAATCATTGATACTATTATGTTCCTACAGACATCTTAAAAGTTTCAAGAGCTATGAAGTGGCATTTAAAACCTTATTTTCTAAAGATAGACAAGCATAAAAATAAGAACCTGCCCATCTTTAAAGGTTCATCAAATTATGCCTCAGTAATTTGCTTTTAAACTATTTTCAAAAGCTTTTTAATTTTGTTGTATTTTTATAGTATCCCAAAAGTTACATTTAGGCCAATTACAATGTACCTGAACATTTTTTTTCCATCTATTGCTTTAAATAACATATATAGTGAATTAGTACTTTGTATGGCTGTCAAAATAATACTTGTTTACATTTTACCACATTTTTTGATAAATTATTTCACATTTTCACTAATTTATTCAGGTTACAAGCATCTAACATTCTCTTATATCATTATTTAAACATAATAAAATTCATGTTTGCCCTTTCTAACAAAGTAAAAATTTATTTGTTTCTGAGTCATAATGAAAAATAAAATATCAATAGTGATTTTAACAAGAGCTGTCACAGGAGACAGCGAAGCTCGACTAATGAAATACTGGATGCAGTAAGGAGGACAAAACTATGAAAGAAAAATCAATTATGTATAATTATGTATTAAGTTATAGTAAAAAAATAATATTTGTTAACATAAATTCCAAGATCAAGGGGCATAATTCTAGAAATAGTCATGCTAGAGTTATGGACCTTGTCACACAACATTTGTGTAATGATAAGAAATATATATTTGAAGTTTGAAGTAGATACCTTAAAAAGAAAAGAAGTTATTATATTTCTTAAAGAAAATCCTAAGTTCAAAGAGAGATAAATCTGTAAATATTGCATCAAGAGTTATGAACAATGTCACATAAAATGTATAATAAGTATTTGAAATTTGAGGTAGATACCTTTAAAAATAAAAAAGTTATAATAAGAAATAACATTTTTCTAGTAAAAAAATCTAAGTTTATGGGGAGATAATTCTTGCAATATTGGTGCTAGAGTTATGAACCTTGTCACATATGATGTGGATGATGATAACGTAAACATATTTGAAGTATGAAGTTGATCCCTTTAGAAATAAATAAATAACAGAAAAAAAAAAATTTATGGAAAATTCTAAGTTCAAAGGGAGATAAATCTGAAAATATTGGTGCTAGAGTTATGAACCTTGTAACATAAGATGGGGATGATGATAATGTAAGTACATTTGAAGTATGAGGTTGATCCCGTAAGAAATAAAGAAGAAAGAGTAAGAAATAGTACTTTTTGAGGAAAATTCTAAGTTCAAGGGGAGATAAATCTGAAACTATTGGTGCTAGAGTTATGAACCTTGTCACATAAGATGGGGATGATGATAAGGTACATATATTTGAAGTATGAGGTTGATCCCTTACGAAATAGGGAAGTAACAGTAAAAACTAGTATTTTTTAAGGAAAATTCTAAGTTCAAGGGGAGATAAATCTGAAAATATTGGTGCTAGAGTTATGAACCTTGTCACATATGATGTGGTTGATGATAAGGAACATATATTTGAAGTTTGAAGTTGATACCTTAAGAAATGACAAAGTTATAGTGAAAAATATTTTACTGCACCAAAACTTTAATCTAAAATCTGGACGCGGACGCGGACGCCGACGCCGGGGCGAGTAGGACAGCTCTCCATATACTTCGTATAGTCGAGCACAAAACTAATATAATTTACCTGCTGTGTGCATCCACCATTTGCTAACACAAAGCCAATTAAGTAATGCACAGCAGACATTTCTTGACTTCTTGTATGCAGTACCATTGTAGTTGTAATCATCAAGTTTGTGTAAAGTTTACTGTCAATACTTCTTGGTATAGCAATATCACAAACAGCAGACTCCAGAAATTTTAATAAGCTTGGACATTTATTTTGAAGCTCAGCATCTAAAGACTGCCATGTAAAGTTAAACAATCCATCATATTCTGTTTTTCGTAAAATAGAATCAGAATTTCTTTTGCATACATTTTTACATTCATTTCTCACAATACTGGCTGCACAGTTGATAATCTCTTTTGAATGATCTTTTGCAAGCCAATCAAGTATAACATTTTCACAGTTTTTACCATTTAGCAGGACTTTACAAATACTTTTATGTAGCTCTGGCCATATAAATGCTGACTTTCTGCCACTTGGATAGTTGACTATTATCTGAAATATGTAATAAATATGTTATGACACTGGCAGCATCACTGTCATCAGTTTACAAGAGTGGAGCGAGATTTCAGTATTATTACATTTAATAACATATAAAGAAGTTTGGGTTATTTTGTTAATCTAACCAGTAAAAGACATTGTTTGAAAGAAATGAGTCTCTCAAATTAAATATGATTATAACTCACAACTTTAATACTTTTACAAGGAACAACTTCAATTATTTCAGTAATCTCATTTCTGAATTGAAAAAATAACTTTATTTCTTCAATAAACATATGTAATCAAGCAAGCTTGAGCATTTTAACAGTTCAAATACTACACATTCTGGCTATTTCTTTAATTTACTTCAACAAAAGGCATGCAAACCTCACATTTGCAGGAACTAAATAAATAACAGCTGTAGTGTAAAAATTAATTTGCTTTTACTCTGGGGCATTTACCTATTATCAATAACAACATTTTTCTCAAAATTTTAATTTTTGTACCATTAAATATCCATTCTTAGATAAGCACTTTGAACATATAACAACAGTGTATGCTTGTCACTTAGTAATATTGCTTTTAAAGAAACAGTCGGGAAATACTTTGGATTCAGCTGGTTGTTAAAGAGATCATTAACTAGAATTAAAATTATGGTACCCAAGTATGTACAGTAATATTATATGGTGAACATGTAAATGCCCTTCTTGTTGTCAGCAAATTTCATTTTTTTTTATACAAGCTGGATAAGGTTCATGCAAAATAGGGAAATGTAACTTGGAACATAGGTCATTCACAGAATAATTCATAGAAACAAAACTGAACATATCAAACAAGTATTTTGGCATGTAACAATGAACTGAACATTAACTTGTTTGAACATTTTACTTCAACTTCTCCATGTCCCTGGACTTTCTCTGGGAAAGCCAATGACTTTCTGGCAGTCTTTGAAACAGCCTTTGAAGCATCATAGATGTTCTCTATACAATTTAATAAATTTAGCATAATCACTTTGAACAAAATGTTATAAAAATAACAAATTTAGTGCAGAGACAATTACATTGTATGTAAGATATTTCATTAACTTTGCAAAAAAAATTTAAGTCATAAAACTTTGATTTAGACAATGCTGCTTCTGCTATAATCTCGGGCCTTTCCCTAGTTACTTTGGAAAAAGGTGCCTAGTCCTATTTATGAAATTTTGCGTCATAAAACTTTTCACACTTTGCCCACTCTCTTTTGGTATAGTATTTTCAATTGTACAATTTTTTCCCAACCAATGCAAATATCATGCAAAGCATAAAACATTAAAATTTGTTAATGAAATTTGAATAAACTCCAGCAAGTTTTGAAATCGGGAATTTCAGTTTGGAATTATTTTCTAAAGTAAGAATATTTGGCAAATTGGCTATGGAAATGGGTCTTTGTGATGATGAGGCATAATGCATGTATACTCAACACTTATTCACTTTGAGTTGCTGAACAGTGATATCGAAACTTTTCATATGCATTGTGTTCAATCCATGATACTGGCTTAATCCACTTATATTTTCACATATTTACCTTTATCCTGCTGCTGACTTGAAGGAGCTATCTGTTTGCATGCCAGTGCCTGAAAGCTGCTCAGCTGCAGGGGATGTTTCACTGTTACAGTGTTTGGGAACTTGGGAATTTTCAATATCTGTTCATGAGCTGGTGATCGGATGAGCCTTTTCTCTCTATCTACAGATGTAATGTCCTATAAGAAATAAAAATAGCTTAACCTGTTTTTCATATTATTCCTTTTGATGTCGAAATTATAGCATTCAAATGTTGAAGTTTAAATATTAACATTAATTAATTGTTCACTGTTGGTCTTCAATAAGGTTACATACAATTAAATAGTTGGATATCACAAAAATGTGACTAAATACATAACTTAATTGTAGATGAAACTAGGGCTGTCATTGATAGAAAATTTTGTATCGATATATCAAGAGACAAATATAGACGCTACATCAATATATATCGACTTTGACAGTCGATACAATGAAAAACATTTATATATGTGTTATAAATTGGGATCATGATATTATGCATGGTTGTATTACACATTACAAATACTACGAACTAACAGAAATATAAATTATTTTAGCTTGTAACGATATTGTATCGGATGATGAATATCGATGATACATCGATATCAATCGAGATAATCAATGACAGCTCTAGATGAAACATGTATTTGCTGTTGATTATAAAGAATTTAAACTGAGTGATCAACAACTACTGAACGAGGAAAATAGATAAATCAAGCATTTTCTCGGCCATCCAGATTTGGTGGTCCCCAACCAGTATCCTATGTTCACTGTTGTGTAGTGATACAGTATTTTCATAAGTAAAAAAATCATCTTAAATTAAAATGTAATAAGTATTCAATTTGTATTTCATGATGAAAATTTCCTAAATACATGTATCACTATCACTTTAGTATTTAACTGCCTGTGAAATCGGTAGTAATTAAAGGGAGACAGATAAATAGTTTCATGATTTTTTTGGCTACTTTCACTTTGCCTTTGGTCAACTTAGTGAAAAGTGAAAACAAACACATCTATATCTTTCTAAATTTCCTGAAAAGTACCTTTTCAATTCGATTTCTCATTTGTTCCAGCTCTGATGTATTTTCATGTAAGTTCTTTTGTTGACGGATGACCGATTCAACTTTACGATAGCATTTTATACATATCGCCGTCTCATTATCTGACAGTGATAAACTTTTCACTGCCGTTTTCATGTTCCGTAGGCGTTCTTCGTTTACCCTGAGCTTTTGCTTCGATAGTTTTTGGACATTTTTTCTACCACTCCCAGTAAGAATTATTTCCAAAAATGACATCCCACAGAAACAACAACGGTCAACCAAGGAATGGATTTTTTTGGGTGTTTTTGACACCGTATCGCCTATGCTTGTGGAGGCTGCCATCTTTTAATCGGATTCGGATTACTTTTGTGATAACCGTTTACATTGAAATTTCCGATGGTGACCGTTTTATGACGGAGATTCACGGACTTACACCTAAGCATTTTGAAGCCAATGATTTGATTGGCTAATCAAAAGGTCAAATTGAGGCGACCCCGAATGCGATGTACTCAGATCCTACGAGCGTAGGGTAGTGAAGCGACAGTTAGGATATGATTTTAATGAGATTGATTTTTTAGCAGATTCATTTTCATTTGTATTTTTGTTTCTTATTTGTTTACCTTGCAAAGCATCTGCAAGCCTTTATAAATGTTGCATGTAGAAGACACGGATTGTGAATATCCATAAGGTAATAAATTGTAACTAACATACTTCATTCGTGTATGCATGCACGACATGCAATGATTAAGCATATGATTTTATCTAATGATGATAGCAACGTTAAACATGTATTGATGATCTGTTAACAGCCTTATAACCGTTACCATAACAGCAACATTTTGATAATTCACAGAAGACATGCACTATGACAATTAAGAATACAAAGGCATCTTTATGGAGACATATTTAAGACATGTTTCCTTTCTTATTAGGTTTTTACTATCTTGCATTAATAAAATAAGGTTTTATTGTTGTTTTAGAATCCTGGCATGTAATTCAATAATACATCTCAGATATATGGTGGCTGATTTGTTCTATGTCACATTTTCTCTCTGCGGGGCGCCAGGCACAAACGCTTAAATACGACAAAGGGATCATTTTGTATTGCCTTTTACTCAACTGGGCGCCAGACGAAATAACGATTACACAAACATACAACAAAAGTGATCACCTGTCTGCAGGGCGCTGGCAAAAACATTCTAATAAAATTGGTTACTTTGTCATATGTCCTATACTAAGTCTTATGAATATTGTTTGATCCCTAGATGCGACATTGACTTGCAAACTTTTGATTGTTGAAAACAAACAATCATTTTAATTTTCATAATAGACAACGCATTAAACTTGCATAGGTTGGTGGAAATCAAACAAACAACACTTGTTTAATGCTGTTGTATTCAAACATTGAAGATTTCGTGCTACATTACTTACATTTTGTTTTAATTTTCAAACAGGAATATTTGGTGAATACTAGAAAATTATGTTTGAGACTCATTTAGATTTTGTTCAGTTGTTAAAATGACAAAATACATTGACATTCTACTTGATTTTTCAAAATTAAACGAGTTAGCAACATTTTCAATTTTGCCCTTTTTTTGGTGTTCTTTTAGGATTCCTCTTTTTATGTTTTGAAAAGCAAACCATATCATACAAAGTTTTGCATCTTCTTTTTTTTTTTTAAAAAAAAAAATAAATAGATAAATAAATAATAAATAAATAAGAACAAAGTTAATAGTGAATATAATTATACATAAAATTTTAGCTGAACTCCACTCTAGGTTCAAATGCCTTAAACATAAAATTTCAGAAACTAACGAATATCAAGTGAAACACTTAAAATGGACAAATCTGCTAAGGATAACAAGTATGCTTTAAACGGAATTAGAAATCGATTATGGTACAATTCTTGGTCTGTTTTGAGCAAAAAGAGTTGCAACGCGTTTCATTTTTGGGTACTTTTGTACATTAAAAATGATCGTTCTGGAAAAAACGGAGAGAGGGAATAAACTGACATTTTGCTTACACATATTTGGTCCAACCCTATATCAAATGAACAGGTACGAAAATCTGGGTGAAATATTTACTTATGTTTGTTATGTAAACCACTTTCAATTTATTGGTTGTTGAAACCAGTCCCGTGATAAAACTGTGTTGTATTAAATATTATATTTAGTCTATATCATACTTAGTCTATATTTATCATATTAAAACACCTTTAAGTAAGAATGTAAGATCTATTCGAACTAATTAAAACAGCCATTAAGTTATCGTTTAAGTTACCCTTCACAGACTGCACTGGTTCAATATCATTTTAGTCACTGTACAACTTTAAACTTTAACATTCAATTGATTACAACACTTTAAAGTGTTGGAAATTAAGGTCCGCTCAGCTGGTGCTAGTAGCGGTGGGGTTGTTTCGCTATTTCATTATTCCTCATGTATAGACTCAATCAAACCGAGTCATAAATTTTCATGTTATCTGGTTGGTATAAATGCTTCCAATGGATCACACTTTGTCCAAATTTGTAAAAACGTACCAGTCATATTTTGATGACTTTTACACAAAATATGAAAACTATTTTATAACATTGTCATGACTGAATAATGAAAATAAATATTCGAACGTGTCAGATTTGTATAATAACTGAAAAATCTTTTTTTTGTCGACAACCTTTGGGTCATAAAGACACTTTTACTTTTTTACGGAATAGTAAGCGATCTTTAGCGTTCCTTGTTTTTATAATTTCATTATATCCTACCCGTGTCTTAATGTACAATATTTCTTAATAAACAGAAAATACGTCCCCATAGAAACAATCCACATTTACAGATGTGTACTATAAAAAGAAAAATAAATAATATATTGTTTATAGCATCGCCTTGTTTAACACTCCCTTATATTTCCCGTAAACAAATATTAAATGAAACTAATATAGCTCTATAAAAAGAACCGACGATTCTGGTGATAATCATTATAAATGCAGTACTTAAAAATAACTTAATTACACATCAAAGGATTGCTTTCTTCTATCAAGCTATCTCTAAGATAAAAACTCTCACTGCAAACGCTGACAAACAAATTATATGCGTTTATCTTAGAACCAACGTACTGATTTAACTTACTTAATATGATCATTCGTGACGTCAGTCACATTTAAGTTTCTTTGTGCATAATGTCTCTGTTTATCATTTGTAGAAAATGGTTAGTTCTGTGTGCCTCTATATACCAATAAAACTCCCATTTATTTTTTAATCTTTGCAAGAATTGCTGTTTAATGTCTATCGAAACTTGGTTTGCGGGCTTTCTACTTCTCTTAGTGGGTTTTATGGCATTTAAATACAGTTCTGTAATTGTCATATACCAACCTCAGAAGCATCCTCTTTCAACAAGTAGGTCTTTATGGACTATAAGAATGAATCTGAAGTAATTTGCAGAAAGACAATGTTGACAAGGATCAAACAGATAATTTTGGAATGTGTTTTGATGTTTTTCTACTAGCTAAACCAAAAAAGTCTTCTGCAGCTAGACCATAAATAATATTAAATAATTCCACTCCAATTCCAAATGTCTAAACACATAAAGTATGAATTTCTTACATCGACTAGCTGGTGCAATTTAAACATAGAGATATTCAAAAGATGTATATTTAATATATTTTATTTTTTAGAAGATTGTAACAAACGAGATTAGTCAATGTGCGCCTTAAAACAAAACAAACAAAATGTTGAGCTGACCTTGACACTCGATGGTAATTATACTTCACTGGCAACGCCTCCGCCACAGTGGTCTCGAATACCATTTGAATTATCGTTCAACTTTATTCCCTTTTCTTTAAATCGTACATGTTATTTCGGGAATGAGAATTGAGAACAAACACCATCTGGATAATATACTTACCCTTATAGACTATGCCTTTGTTCGGATGATAATTAATTTTGC